TCTGCGAGAAGCGCGGGATCGGGAGTGGGAGGCTGCCCTCCGAGAGGCGGACGTGACGACTCTATCTTCGTACCAGGGGTTCTGTAATCGGACTCGAGCGATTCTTCACGCAGAGGTCCAACACGGGGCTACTGGCGTCACGTCTGGAGCTGACCGAGACAAAAAAAGGTATCTGGACGTGGGCGGGCACTCACGGAGGCGCAGAGCGAGACCGCTAAAGCTTCTAACGCCCTGAAGGCCGCGGAGAAGGCACTGGCAGCGGAACGAGGGAGAGTCAAGACCCTCCAAGCCGTTAGGACCGAGGTTTCTAAGGATCTCGTGTCCGCGAAGACCCAGCTCGAGGACGTGCAGGCCCAACTCGCTTCTCGTCCTGCAGTGAACCCCGGCGGAACGGTTCCCCAGGTTGAACACGATGCGGAGATCCGTCGCTTGTCCCGACGAATTAGGAAACTCCGGGTGGCGAATCAAGCCATACGCACGGAGAGACAACGTTTCCGGATCTTGCTCAATCCGGACAACCTGTTTTAGTTTTTCAACGATCAGGGTAGCCCAGGGGTCATGACTGGTGCAACTGAGTTCCAGGAACAATTGTCGGTGTACTGTCGATCAGAGCAACCCCCGTACTCTGTGTTTCTGATGGTGAGCCGGACGGAATAACGCTCCACCGCCTCCGTTTCAGAACACACAGGTCGAGAGCGAGGGGGATGCCTCCGGCTCGGCATCTGACAAGGAGGGCGGAGTCGGGGGGGATGATCCCTCAGCCGAGGACTCCGGGAAGTCGCAATCCGCCCCTATACCGGCTTCTTCAAAGAAGAGCCAGGGAATTCCGCCTTCTAATCCGGCCAAGGAGGCTGCCGTACCCAAGGGCACTTTTTCCCACTCGACAGATTCTGAGGCTCTCCCTCCTCCCGTTCCTCACGGAAACTCTCTGCTACGACCTGACCCAGGGATCTCCGGAGCTACTATCTTTGGTCACCTGTTCGATGTGGACTACGATATGGGTGGGGGCGATGACGAAGAGAGGAGGACTCCCCAAGAAGAAAAACACGAGGAAGATTCTCCCATGGACGGAAGACCCGGGGCGCGGGACCCCCTGAGTCCGAGGACGTCGAGATCATCGAATGCGTCTCAAAACCGGGCCCTCGGATGTCTGCAGACGGGTTGCGCCAGGTCAGACCCACAGTCTACGTCCCCCAGACCGATCCAAAGGGGTTTTTATCGCCCCATAGATTCCGACGCTGACCCAGTTCGTTCCGTGGAAGAGCTGGCACACGTCTTGACTCGTTCCACGGTCGAGGATGTACGTATGGATGTTTTGGAGTATTGGCAAAAGGATACGGATCGGTGCACTCTGATGGACGCGGAGGATGCAATCCAGGGCCGTGCCGCCGAAGACATTGTCGTGCACGTCAGCCTCCGGAAGAACATACTGGTGGAATTTTTGCGTCGGCCGTTGATATTATCATTCCTGGATGAGGTACCTTGGTTCCAGCACGTACCCGAGGAGTTTTTTGACCGGGCTTTGGCTGAGGCTGAGGATGATGACTGGGCGCTGGGACTAGCCGAGGGCGTGAACCCATGGCCTCCGGTGCCACTCCAGCCCCGGGACAGTCCCAGTCCTTCGGAGCATGAAGAAGACGCCTCCGGGGTGAGCAGGTTGGCGATGAACCTAATGACGAAACTTCCCTTGGTAAACGTTCTCGGCCAAAGTCGAAGACCCCGGCAGGGAAACGTCCCAAACGAATTGTCCCTCCGACTCCCTCGCCTGGCAAGTCAAGTTCCTCGCGTACTCCCCGGGAGAATACCGCACCAGCACTCTCTGACGTCTCATCGAACGATGAGGACACTCCTCCTCGCCGAGTCAAATCTTTACCCTGGACCCCGGAGATGGGCCACGAGGGGTATCATACAGATACCCGGCTGACCAAGTCTTGGATCGTCTACAACACGCGCGTGCGCCAGACTAGCACTCGTCACAAGCACCAAAACCAGGGCTTCCCGGCCTACGAGGTCATGAACGATGAGGCCCAGTCCGTGGCAGAGCGAGTCCCAGTCGCAAAGTACGTGGACATCGTTGAGAACCAGGCTCCCTGGGACGATATGTTCGATGAGCGTGTGAAGGTCTTCTTGTTTGTCCGGGGTACGTCGACTCCGGCGTTAGTAGCCATCGCCAAGCGTTATGTTCTATTTATGTGGGTTTGGCGCAGAGAGGAGTGGGAGCGCACGCATTGGATCGTGCTGAATCGGAACATCGAGGCACACGCCCCCCTTCATCAAGATCGAGCTGGGCGCCAGCGGATGTATGAGAAGGCACTCAAGGACGTCCAGGCGGACGTGGTCACACTTCCTCCTCCCGAGCGCAAGCTATTCCGGACTGATGCAGCGTTCTGGCGTCACTCCCGGAAGCCCTGCGTGTGGATCCCCATGGATCCAAAGGCACACATGACTCTTCGTACTCAGCTTGACATGCTGGACCAGCGGCTGGCCTCTACTGGGGATCATCTTGCCCGGAGGAACGCATCGCAGAGAGTGTATCTCCGACCGTCTGGGGCACCCGCGTGACCGTTCACGCCAATCGCCTTCCTGTTCCCGAGCCTGAGGAGTATGTTATGCCCCGCGGTCGTCGTTAGTTCCCGGGAGCCAGCTTAGCCTGGGTCTTCCCCAACCCCGGAGTCTCCATATGCTTCTTCAATATATCTTTGCGTTTGTCTCGTTGACTCTAAGCCTTCTTGTCTTCTTCCTTTGGTAACGTGTATATGTCATGCAAACATGTAGTCACTTGTGTCCCAGAGAGTATTCTCACCTGGGAACACAAGGCTCCTGAGGGACACTCCAGAGCCTGCTGTGGTGGCTAACTCTGGGTCCACGCCCCAGGGAACATGTATTACACTCATGTCCTGGGAAGTATTCTTACCCGGGAACATGAGGCTACTGGGGGACCCTCCGGAGCCCACTGTTGTAGACTCCGGGTCCACGCCCCAGGGCTCTACCGGACTTCTTCGTCCGGGAGTTCGTCTCCAGACTGCATGGCCTGGAAACGCGCGCGAGCTCGCTCTCCTTGGTCGAACACATAGAGGAGTCTCCCGCAATTGAGGTGTCCCTGAGGGACCCAGTCCGGCACGTCGTACCCTTTCCATTTCACTTGATATTCTTTGACGCGCCGACTAGTGCGGGTCCGGGTGACCCAACGCACATCAAGTATTGCTTCCACTTCGAACTCTCCGGAACCCTCATCGGGCTCCCAACTGTCCTCTCGGAGCAGTGCGGCGTCGAAATCGTCGTTCTCCGGGATATCCATTAGCTCCGAGGGCCGATCTGGGTATTTTGCTCGGGGCTTCAACCGGCTGACATGGACCCAGGGGTAAAACCGGTATTCAGTCCCCTCAACCTGGAGACGATACCGGTAGTCGCTACCTTTTTCCAGGATTCGGAACGGGCCGTGCCAAAGATGAGCCAACTTCTTGGTGAGTCCGGGGCGGACTCGGGCTAGGTAGAGCCAGACTGAGTCCCCGACTTCGAAGCCTTCCTTGAGCCGGTCCGTGAGCTGTTTCCATTTCCGGTTATGGTCCTCTGCTCGACGTCTTTTGGCCTTTGCTTGGAGGTCCCGGGCCCAGGCTCGAGCGTATTCGACTTGGCGTTGGATCTTCGTGCGCCACTCTTGGGCGTCTCGGAGTTGGACGTCCTTGGGAAAATCTCCTATCATGGCTTCCACGGTGCTCTGGGCGCCCCAACCGTGCACTAAGTAGAATGGTGTATCGAGTCGGGTGAAGTCGAAGGAGGTGTTCAGCGCCCACATGAGTTTTTCAGCTAACTCGTCCCAGTCACTCTGGTCTACCGTCTGGACGTGCGCCTTGATACTTCGGATCACTGTCTGCACTGACCTCTCCTGCTGCACGTTAGCCTGGGGGCGGTAGGCTAGGGTCGCGCGCTGTCTGCTCCCGAGTATCTCCCGGAAGTGCTTGAACACCCGACCCATGAATCGTGGGTCTCGGTCGTGGCGTATCATTTCGCTGGCCCCGGACCTCCGGAACACGCATTCTTCGTAAGCTTCGGCCACGTCCTGGGCCTCAGTGCTCGCCATGGCTTTGCACATGATGAATCCCGAGAACGCGCACTGGAACAAAAGTAGTGCTGTGTTCCCTCGGGCTGACTGAGGCAAAGGTATGACGAAGTCCATCGAGACGCCTTGGAACGGCCGCGTAGCCAGCAAGTTGCCGGGTGATGAGCCTGGGTTCCGGGGTAATCCCTTAGCCGTGACACAATCCACACACTCTTTGACATATCGCTCCGCGTCCTTGAACAGCCCAATCCAGTAGAATTATTTGCGTAGTCTCTCATAGGTCCGGATGATACCCTGGTGGGCGCCCTGGAAGTCTGCGTGACAATGGTGCAGAATATCTTCTTGGAGGGTTTGGGGAACCACCAGGCGGAGACGGTCGGCAGCGTCCCGGGGGCGTT